GCCCGGGCTGGTCTCAAACCCCTGGCCTCAAGCGATCCGCCCGCCTCAGCCTCCCAAAGTGCTGGGATTACAGGCGGGAGCCTCTGCGCTCAGCCGATGGTCTCTATTTAAAAGGGCAGTCAGAGAAGGCTTCCCAGAGGAGGTGGCGTTTGAACAGGGACAGGGAGTGTCGTGTGCAGAGGCCCAGGAACACCTGGCGTGTTTGAGCCACAGGGAGGAGGCCCGGGTGGCAGAAAGAGTGATGGAGGGTCCGAGCCGGAGGAGGCGAGGGCTGAGAGGTGAAGAGGCAGATCTTGCAGGGCCTTCTGGACCGCAGGCAGGGCTTTGGCTCAGAACCCACCGAGGGCTCTGAGCAGAGGACGGAAATGACTGGATTAGGACTCGGATTGGAAATTACTCGGGTGTATACTGGCGCCCCCTGGTGGCTGATGATTGGATTAAGGATTGGATTGGAAATGGCTTGAGGTGTACACTGGCGCCCTCTGGTGGTCGTGGGGAGAACGGACTTCGGGGGCGATGGCGGTACCTTGGAGGTAGGGGTGCAGGGGAGGTGGGTGCCCTGGTCCCGGGAAGGGGGCGACCCGGAAGGTGGATGGCTGGACCCGGAAGGTGGTGGAAAGTGGTTAGGCTCAAGAGATCCTCCCGCCTCACCCTCCCCAGTAGCTGGGACTACAGAAGCACGCCACTATACCCAGCTAATTTTTAAATTTCTTGTAGAGACAGGGGTCTTGCTATGTGGCCCAGGTTGGTCTTGAACTCCTGGCCTCAAGTGATCCTCCCCCCTCGGCCTCCCAAAGTGCTGGGATTACAGGCTTGAGCCACCATGCTCGGCCCGTTCTTATTCTTAAGGAAGAAAAGGTCCCCTTCTCTGGATGTGGACCCTTTTTTCAACCTTATGCTGTGCTCCTCAGCCCCAGGAGCAGCTGGAATATCCGGCCGCGCCCACCCACTGTTTCCTGTCTGCAGGTGTCTCCAGCCTGCCAGGACAAGTCACACACGCTCAGTGGCCTCACACAACAGGAATTCATTCTTCCGGAGACCAGAAATCTGAAGTCAGGGTGCCACCAGGGCCATGCTGCGCCGGAAGTGTGTGGGGGAGGACCCTTCCTTGACTCTCGCGGCTTCTGGGAGCTCCTGGTGTCCTCGGCTTGTGGCCTCATCACTCCAATTGCTGCCTCTTCCGTCATCTCACGGCCTTCTGCCTTCTGTGTCCAACAAATGTCCCTCTCCTGTCTCTCGTGAAGACACCAGACGTTGGATTTAGGACCTGCCCAAATGATCCGACCCGGAGATGTCATTAACCAATGACATCCGCAAAGACCCCGTTTCCAGATAAGGTCACAGTCTGAAGCCCCCCGTGCACGTGGAGTTTGGGGGAGCACAATCCAACCCGCTACCATGCCCAGAGCTGGCGATGAAATTCCGCAGCAGGTGCTGGGACGGAAGCAGGTGCTGACTTGGGTCATTTCCCTGTTTTCCCACCAGGAGGTCGTCTATGCCTTTGACAGTCTTTATTTATTTTTTTATGGTGGTAAAATACACATAACAGAATTTTTACCATTTTAACCATTTAAAGTGTGCAGTGCAGGGGCATCAAGTACATTCACATCGTTGTGCGACCACCACCAAACGTCTGTCCCCAGCACTTCCGCGTCTTACACACCTGTCCCTGTGAACAGTCACTCCGCATCTCCCCTCCCCAGCCCCCGCCACGGACCGCTGCGCTTCCTGTCTCTCTAAATCTGCTGGCGGAGAGCTCCTCATGTAATTGCAACCGCACACTGTCTGTCATTTTGCCACTGGCCGGTATGGGCTGAATTTTGTTTCTCCTCCCCCAGCTCATCCGCTGAGGTTCTGACCCCCACTACCTTAGAATCTGGCTGCATTTGCAAATAAGAGTCTTTGAAGTGTTAACTAAGGTTAAATGAGGTCATTGGGGAGTGGCCCTATTCCAATATGATTGGTGTTCTTTTTTTTTTTTTAATTATTTATTTATATTTGTTTTTTGAGACACAGTCATGCTCTGGTGCCCGGGCTAGAGTGCCGTGGCATCAGCCTAGCTCGCAGCAACCTCAAGTAGCTGGGACTACAGGCATGCACCACCATGCCCAGCTCATTTTTTCTATACATTTTTAGTTGTCCAGCTAATTTCTTTCTAGTTTTAGTAGAGACGGGGTCTCGCTCTTGCTCAGGATGGTCTCGAACTCCTGAGTTCAAACGATCCTCCCGTCTCGGCCTGGCAGAGTGCTAGGATGACAGACGTGAGCCACCGCGCCCGGCCAACAGGTGCCTTTTGTTGGCGCCCCAGACTTTTTTTGTTGGATGATGGATTCTGGTTTGTCACCCCATTCCCCAATGTTTGTTACTCAAATACATTAAACTATAAATGCCCCCTTGTTAGAGGTGAATTCAGGCTTTGTGAGCCCTAAATGCACAAATTTATCTTTGCTGCAATTTATTTTCAGAAGACAAAGTCTCACGATGTTATTCAGGCTCGTCTTGATCGCTCCTAGGTTCAAGCGATCCTCCCATCTCAGCTCTCAAAGTGCCGGGGTTACAGACATGAGCCGCTGAGCCTGGCTCTTTGCTGCAAATTTCACCGGAACAATCAGCCAGGTGAACAGGTGCCTGCAGCTGGGCCCCCTCAGGCCTTGGCACGTGGGGTGGCGCTTCCACTGCCACAGCCAGCAGGGGCGCGAGGCTGCAGCTGGGGCTTTGTTGTTAAGCGGGGCGGGGCGTCCGAGGGGCGGGGCGTCCGAGGGGCGGGGCGTCCGAGGGGCGGGGCGTCCGAGGGGCGGGGCGTCCGAGGGGCGGGGCGTCCGAGGGGCGGGGCCTGCCTCAGGCCAATTTCCTCCTGGGACTGCTCACCTGTCCCTGCTGTCCTTTCTTCCCGCCCTGCCCGCCTGTACCTGCCCCCCATTTCCCCGCCCTCCTTCACGCCTGTATTCACGTGCTCGTTTGTATCCTGGTCTCCATCTCCGCCCTCCTTCGCACCCCCAGTTTCTCTGCCTTCCCTCGTGTCCACATTTCGCCAGCCCTCCTTTGCACCCTGTAGTGCCATGCTCCCTTGCACCCCCACTTTCTCGCCCTCCTTTGAGCCCCAGTTTTCGGGCTCTCAGCCCTGGCTCTGAGGCTCTGTGTTTCGTTTCTTATTGTTTTTAACCTCTTTCGTAGGAGCGCATCGATTTTGGCCAACAGACGTGATGTGACTTTTTAAATTTTTCATTTATCAAAATAAAATTGTGAACATTTAAAAATAACATAATAAAACATATATGTATATGTTACCTATTCTGATTTACAAGTAAAGCTGCTCATAAAGTAAAACAAGCTCGCAGTGCTTTCAAGCTGTCCTCATCACACAAGAGCAAAACGGACCCGCCGTCAATGCACAGCACACACTACCGTGCGGACTGTGAGTGCCGGCTGTGGGCAAGGTTTCCCAGCCGGTGAGCTCGGTACCGGTACCGAAGTGGTTAAAGACAGGGTCTCCCCCTGTCGCCCAGGCTGGAGTGCAGTGGCACAATCATAGTTCACTGCAGCCTCCAACTCCTGGGCTCAAGCGATCCTCCTGCCTCAGCCTCCCGAGTAGCTGGGACTACAGGCACCCTGCCCGGCCCTTAAGGCTCCTTATTTCAAAAGACCTTTTAGAGAGAGGCGTGGAAGGACACACTCCTGGCCATGAACAAGGCCTAGGCAGGAGACAGCCACTCTTCTCTGAAAATCTTGCTTAGTTCTCCATGTTCCAGGAAGCTGGTGATTTGACAAACCTTCATTCAATGAATTAACGTGTAAGCTGTTTTCTCCCATTTGAGCCTCCCCCCACAAGCCATCCAGGATCTGGACTCAGACACAGCCCAGCCCAGGGCTGGACAGAGGGGTGACAGGGCTGGGGTAGCGTGGCCCTGGGCCAGGTGAGAATGGGGACCCAGGGCGCGAGGTGGGCCAGGGGCTGGAGGACTGGGGTCTGGAGGACTCCAGTGCCCGTGTGCAGGTGTTTTGCCCTGAAATGTCCACTACGTCCGCCACCAAAAAAAGCCCGGTGACTGATGGCACACAGCTCAAGGACAATGCAGCCGGGAAGGCCTCAGATGGAGAAAGGACAGGCTGTCTGCCTCACACATTGCTGCACTCATGGCAGTCTTAGAGCCTCAAATCCTGGCCTTGGCCCTGCTTCCTGGGTGGCCTTGGGCAGTCCCTTGTCCTGAGCGCTGTGAGGGGGATGGGCCGAGTGTGGCCTGGGGACTGGGGGGCCCCAGTGGCTTGTAGCCGGGTTCCTGCATCATGTCGCGTCCTGATTCATTCATTTCACACCCGGGTTCTTCTTTTTTTTTTTTTTTTTTTTTGAGACAGAGTCTCGCTTTGTTGCCCAGGCTAGAGTGAGTGCTGTGGCATCAGCCTAGCTCACAGCAACCTCAAACTCCTGGGCTCAAGCGATCCTCCTGCCTCAGCCTCCCGAGTAGCTGGGACTACAGGCATGTGCCACCATGCCCGGCTAATTTTTTTTCTATATATATTAGTTGGCCAATTAATTTCTATTTATAGTAGAGACGAGGTCTCACTCTTGCTCAGGCTGGTTTCGAACTCCTGACCTCGAGCGATCCTCCCGCCTCGGCCTCCCAGCGTGCTAGGATTACAGGCGTGAGCCACCGCGCCCGGTCACACACCCGGGTTCTTAAGTACATACTCTACCGGGTTTGGGGACACAGCCGTTAATAGGACAACCCAGGTCTCTGCCCCTTCGGAGTCCCCAGTCTAGGTGGGGAAATCAACTACATGGCGAGCACTACGCCCACTCTATGCCCACCGGGCCCTGGTGGCATCTGGGGTTCCCAGGGCAGCACGTCGTGCCTCTTCTCCCTCCCTGCCATGGCCTGTTTGGAGGACGAGGGACTAACCAGTGACAGTTTGGGGCGCCTGCTCCTCTGGCCTCGCTCCAGCGTCCGATTGTGATGTGATAAAGGCTTGTGACTGAGGCGGGGCAGCTGGTGGGCAGCCCCGGGCAACGACCGGGCAGGCGGGGCAGAGAGGGGCAGAGCAGGCCAGCTCCGCGGGCTCTCCCCCAGCCCCCTCTCATCCCGGGGAACAGTAGCCCAGAGGTCCAGGAAGATGCTGACTTAAGTGACTGGGGCGCCCCAGCATGGCCAACGCGGCTGAAATGCACACTCCGTATTCTTCCTTGAAGAAACTGTTATCTTTGTTCAACAGCCTCCTGGCTGTAAGTATGTCACCACCCAGGGCCCGGGGCGTTGCAGTCCTCGCTCCAGGGATGGCTCCCCGAAGGACAGAAATAAGTTGATCCAGATTGGCACTCAGACCTGGGGGCCCCAGGGAAGCGGAGGGATGTAGGGCAGACGGACGAGGAACAGGGCGCCGGGAACAGGTGTAGGCTCCGGCTGACCCCAAGCTGGTGGAATCCAGCGCAAATGAGAGTGATCTGGGGGACCCCCGGGGGGGGGTGACAGAGGATCTTGGCTCAAAGCCAAACCCTACAGAAAACCAAGTTGTTTGGGGACCGCAGGAGGGAGTGGTTCTTCTCTGGATCTTTAAAATTTTTTTTTTCTTTTTATTTCATCATATTATGGGGTGGATCTTTTAAATTTTTCAAACCGTTTTTTTCTTACTCTGAAAGTAACCTGCAATGTACATTGTTAGAGAAGTAATTGACCTCACTGTAGCACGGCCAGGAAAAGCTGCCAGGAGAATGAAATTAAATGTCACCCTTATCGCATCTCCTGCATCGTAACATTTTGATGGAATTAAACGACACAATGTATTTAAAGGGCTTAGACCCCTCATGGGGTCCTTGCTCAGTAAATATCATCATCACCATCATCATCATCATCACCACCACCATATCCTTCCAGACTTTTCTATATATATTTTTAAAAATTGCTGGCTCAAACGCGACTCCGGCTTCCTTGCCCTCAGCGCTCCCCTGCCGAGTAGCTGGGACTACAGCCATCGCGCCACCCATGCCCGGCTACTATTTTCTATATTATTGGTTGGCCAATTAATTCTCTTTCTATTTATAGTAGAGACGGGCGTCTCGCTCTTGCTCAGGCTGTTTGGAACTCCTACACCTTGAGCGATCCCCCGCCTTGGCCTCCCTAGAGAGCTAGGATTACAGGCGTGAGCCACCACACCCAGCCTAACACTTTTTTTTAACAAAGTGGATTGTGAAGCAAAAGCATTTGTTTGTTCTGCTTTTTTTTTTTTTTTTTTTTCAGTTAAAGACACAAAGTCTTTCATGTTCTGCTGTTTTTATTTTATTTATTTATTTATTTTTGAGACAGAGTCTCGCTTTGTCACCCAGGCTAGAGTGAGTGCCTTGGGTCAGCCTAGCTCACAGCAACCTCAGACTCCTGGCTCAAGCGATCCTCCTGCCTCAGCCTCCAGAGTAGCTGGGGCTACAGGCATGCGCCACCATGCCCGGCTAGATTTTTTCTTATATATTATTAGTTGGCCAATTAATTTCTTCTATTTAGTAGTGGAGACGGGGTCTCCTCTTGCTAGGCTGGTTTCGAACTCCGGACCTTGAGCAATCTCCCCACCTTGGCCTCCCAGCGTGCCAGGATTACAGGCGTGAGCCACGGCGCCCGGCCCCTGCTGTTTTTAAAAGATATATATGACGCCTGTAATCCTAGCACTCTGGGAGCCCAAGGTGAGAGGATCATTTGAGCTCAGGAGTTCAAGACCAGCCTGAGCAAGAGTGAGACCCCGTGTCTACTGAAAAAATGGAAAGAATTAGCTAAGACAGACTATATAATACTAATTATAATATATATATATATATTATATATATATATATATATTGCCGGCCATGGTGGCATATGCCAGTAGTCCAGCTACTCGGGAGGCTGAGGCAGGAGGATCGCTTGAGCCCAGAAATTTGAGGTTGCTGTGAGCTAGGGTGCTGCCATGGCACTCTAGCCCGGGCAACAGAGTGAGACTCTGTCTCAGAAAGAAAAAAGAAAGATATATAGATAGTATAGTGATAGGTGGGCCAAAATAAAAGAGAAAGAAATTAAATGTATATTAATATTCAAAAAATTTTTAAAATATATATAGAAAAGTCTGGAAGGATATGGTGGTGGGTGATGATGATGATGGTGATGATGTATTTACTGAGCAAGGACCCCATGAGGGGTCTAAGCCCTTTAAATACACTGTGTCGTTTAATTCCATCAAAATGTTACGATGCAGGAGATGAGATAAGGGTGACATTTAATTTCATTCTCCTGGCAGCTTTTCCTGGCGTGCTACAGTGAGTCAATTACTTCTCTAAACAATGTACATTGCAGGTTACTTTCAGAGTAAGAAAAAAACGGTTTGAAAAATTTAAAAGATCCACCCCATAATATGATGAAATAAAAAGAAAAAAAATTTTAAAGTCCAGAGAAGAACCACTCCCTCCTGCGGTCCCCAAACAACTTGGTTTTCTGTAGGGTTTGGCTTTGAGCCAAGATCCTCTGTCACCCCCCCCGGGGTCCCCCAGATCACTCTCATCTGCCTGGATTCCACCAGCTTGGGGTCAGCCGGAGCCTACACCTGTTCCCGGCGCCCTGTTTCCTCGTCGTCTGCCCTACATCCCTCCGCTTCCCTGGGGCCCAGGTCTGAGTGCCAATCTGGATCAACTTATTTCTGTCCTTCGGGGAGCCATCCGTGGAGCGAGGACTGCAAGGCCCCGGGCCCTGGGTGGTGACATACTTACAGCCAGGAGGCTGTTAACAAAGATAACAGTTTCTTCAAGGAAGAATACGGAGTGTGCATTTCAGCCGCGTTGGCCATGCTGGGGCGCCCCAGTCACTTAAGTCAGCATCTTCCTGGACCTCTGGGCTACTGTTCCCGGGATGAGAGGGGGGCTGGGGGAGCCGCGGAGCTGGCCTGCTCTGCCCCTCTTGCCCGCCTGCCCGGTCGTTGCCCGGGCTGCCACCAGCTGCCCCGCCTCAGTCCACAAGCCTTTATCACATCACAATCGGCGCTGGAGCGAGGCCAAGGAGCAGGCGCCCCAACTGTCTGGTT